TTCATACTCTTGAGCATGATCCTTGTCATCCCTGTTGAATTTGGAATACGAATATGTAGAATTTTATCATTTTGGGTTTGAAATCTATGATTCATGATGAAATTGGAAGTTATATTGCACATGCAAATTGTTTCATAAGTCTTGGAAGCTTAATTTTATGTTTGGAAAGTCATGAAAAGAGTTTTGAAATTAATCTTCACATGCATGAAGATTTGAGTTCAATTTTGGTGAATTCATAAGGCTTTGGGCAAATGATTTATGGATGATCTTGTATTTGAGTTTTCTAAAATGTGTTTATGATTATCAAAGTGTTTTCATGAGCTTGAAATGACCATGCAAGCTTTTACATGTTAAAATGTATTTTTCGAACTCAAATTTTATGTTTTGAAACCTAGAAAATTCACAGCCGGCTCGAGCGACCAAGTGGTGGCTTGAACTAACATTGTGAGCTCCCAATATTTTGCACTCTGCAAAAGTTGGCTCGAGCGACCAAATGGTGGCTCGAGCGAGCTCAGTTTTTGTCTTCAGTTGGCTTTAGCCAACAACTTATTTTCAGCATGTTTTCAAAAGATGTTTTAAGCACATATCTTCGTTCCCATCTCTTTCTGGATGTTCTTAAGCATGAATTATGACTTATTGAGGACCAATAAGCTAAGAAACAACATAAGTAAATGATTAGGAAAGAGAGAAAAGATTCTTTTGGTTTGAACGTTGAATTTCATCCTTTGAGCATGAACCTTGTAATCCATGTTTTGAAAGAATTTCTAAGTATTATTTGAAGGTGTGGATAAGCCATGCAAGTTCATGATTTGAACACTCTTAGTCATACATTGTGCATTCTAAATGAATTAAAAGGTTAGAAAGGATCCTAAGAGAATAAGTTAAGGAGTGGATTAAATAGCATTGTGATTCGATTTGTGTATGTTTATGAATTGTGTAGGAGCATCCACGAGGATGAATCAACACTCTGAACACTGTGAGTAATGTCTTAGTAAGGATATTTTCAAGTATGTTATCTTCCAAATGCTACTTCTGTATAAGTTTCATGGATTTATTGATTTGAATTATGAATGAGTATTCTATACGCCTAATTTTTGTATAAGACTCTACGAAGAACATGATTTGGGCTTGAGGCCGTTTGATATGTATGAATTGGACCTGAGGCCGTTTGATACATTTGATATGTATGAATTGGGCTTGAGGCCATTTGATACATTTGATATGTACAAATTAGGCGTGAGGCCGTTTGATACATTTGAATATTATTATGGGCCAAAGGCCGTTTGAACATGAATGTAACGGGCTAAAGGCCGTTTGAATGAAAAGGTGATCATGATCATGAATATGAAATGCGCATAAATATGAATATGGAAATAATGAGCCTGAGGCCGTTTGAAGTGTTTGAATTGGGCCTAAGGCCGTTTGATAAATTTGACAAGTTCTACAATGGGCCCAAGGCCGTCTAGTATGTTTGCTAAGGATATAAAATGGGCCCGAGCCCGTTTGACATGTACAACAAAAACACAGAATGAGCCTAAGGCCATTCGTATATGAAATTTACGGGTTCGATGTACTTAATATGAATCTCATTCATATAACCCTTTTACTTTGGTATTATTCACTGGGCGTTAGCTCATTGTTATTTATATGTGTGTAGGTGAGCCAAGGGACGTTCAACCCCAACCTTAGTGGAGTTTGAGAAATGAACTCGAGTTTTGTGAAGTTAGCCCAGGTACCTAACGCAAGAGGCTTTGTTTATGATCTTTTGTATTTTCTTTTGTTATTTCCGTTAGTCATGATAGACCATTTATGTGTATAAGCTTTTGGTATAGCTAACTATGTGTTTGAATGATCCTGGGTGTACAAGATATTAACTACTAATATGTGGTGTGAGTTATTATTAAGTATATGGAAAATGTTTTGATATGACATTTAAGCACAGTTCATTGGACAAATTTTTAAGTCCGCTTCTGCATCTAGCTCCATATTGTTAATTTTTAATTGATTTCTATTTGAGGCCGTAGGTAATCTCATGATTGCTGGCCGGTTATGACCTTAATCTATAGGGCGGGTTCGGGTCATGACAGCAACAACGTAGCCTAGCAGTTGTTAGGAATTTTTTAAAAGATTTGCATCCATAACACTGGGCAAATGCATATTTCAGGTAGTTTGTAGTGAGATTAGGTGGTCTCAATTTGAACTTATTGTTGTGTTTGGTGTATATTAAAAAAATTGTATTACTTGTAGGGGCTGCATGTATGGCAAGATGTGGTCTAACGTTGCCGAGTCATTCAACAACTGGATTCGGAAAGCTCGCCATCTCCCTATTACTCAGTTGGTGGATGCAATTAGGGGCCAAATAATGGAACAAATGAACAAGCAGAACGCTAAAAGTAGCGTTTGGGGTGGGGAGATTTGCTTGAAGATGGAAAAGATGTTAGAATCGGCGTTCAAAACTACTCGATCGTGGATTGTTAGCTAGGCTGACACTAATGTGTTTGAGGTATGTTCGCACCCATTAGTTTTGCTCGACGTCAGTACCCGTACCTGTTCATGTTTTTAGTGGCAATTGGATGGTTTTCCGTGTCCCTATGCGGTCGTTACTTTCTGGAATAGCGGCAAAAACATATACAATTCCATTAATCCGTACTACCACGTTAAAGAATTCCAAGTAGCATATGCTGGGTCTATTCACCCAATTCCGACAGTAGCCAAACCCAATTTCACACTCGCTGATTACCTCAGTGCTCCACCTACTATTAAGCGACCACTCGGAAGACCCTAACGGAAGAAGATCCCATCCAAGGAGAAGGTGGTGTTACGCATTTGTTGCGGCCGATATGGCTAAATGGGTAATCACAACAGGAAAACATATAAGGAATTGATGTAGTGCACATTCGTTGAATGTTCAGGGGACACATTTATGAATACATCTTCCACTATCAGACATAATAATTTATTGTCTCATTCACATTCACACTATGGAACAGGTGAATGTTTATTTTTAGTTCATGGTTATGACATTTTTTAAATATTTGTTTTGTGTTTTGGTTGGATCGTGGAATACATTTGATTATATAATAAGAATTTATGTTTGATTTTGCAATTTTTTGCACCCAGATGTGTTTGTTTTATTAACTGGTTTTGGGTTACAACAATGAGAGGTAGGATGCGATGGAATTATGGGGAATGGATAGGTGTTACATTTTTTAGAAACCATCAGCAATGTTGTTCAGTAGATTTACAAAATAATATGGCCAACCGGCATCACATCCGACAGTGTGTACAATGTTTAACACACCATTTCCTTATTCTGCTTCTTCTTAGGGTAAGATGGGTTTCAACCATTAAAATAGACCATTCGGAAGGCACGATTTTGCAATGTTTATTACCTCATATTTTTCATATATATTAGGCAACTATTGCACTTTGTGTAGTCACCGTTTGGAACATCAACTCTTATGAACTTGTGCGACATAGGGGAGTGAGTACATACCAAATATCTGGATGGTCATTTTCAATGCGCTGGGGTGTTTAGTTCATTTTAAAAACCTAGAATGAAAACACTTGGTGGGTTCATGAAAATCATAAACCATTGCCAGCCATCCAGATCAACTATTAAACATCTATGGCACACATTTACGCCGCACCAACATGGGAGAGCAAAAAAAAAAAAAAATATCTGCGTACTTGTAAAACTGATACAAATTCGATTTCTAAAATTAGTACATGAAGATCATACTGACATTACATCTACCGTGATGTGCCAAAATGATAAAGGTGACCTCGAATTCAAATATACTCAATCATACCAGTCTACCACACAATACTCACTTTACATAAAACACAACATAGTTAGAAATTGATGTAGTCCCTAAACACTGGCTTTATTCCATGATAACATTTCTACAAAATCCTGCATTTACTATTCGCAACATAACATTGCGTAAAAAAAATTGGCTAAACGCCACCTGCCAAATATTTGAAACCAACTAACAGACACAAAAATCGGCACAATGCAAGTGTCTTAGTTTTTGGTCAGCTAGATCAAAACCACAAAATCCAACCGAATCAAAATGGCAGCGGGGGGTGGGGGACATTGGTAGGCTGGCCAAATCTATCAATCGGACCTAGCTCGCAGTTCTCTTTCCAGGTCATTTAGAAACATTTTAACAATTGCGGCACACATAGCAGCCGGGGTAAGTCCAGCCATTGTGGTGTCAATTTCAAATCCGTGAAGGTATTGCCGGATGATGAAATAGACAAATATAGCGTAGTCCGACCTGCATGTCAACACAAAACCATCACATCACACCCATTACAATACAAAGTAACTAACTTCAAAGACAACATCAAACACACTTACGAGTCTGGGTCCTATTGCGAGCAGTCTACAACCGACACATGCGTTCCATTAAAATTTAGCACATTGTTGGTTGCCGACCTTGGTTTGACAAAGCTATTATGGTAATCGATCACCTACTCTTTCTGTCAAATGAATGTACATTTTGTAGTGAGACGTAAACATTGTGATGTACTCTTCAAATAGCAACAATAATTCTTAAACAAACCGACCAAGGTTTTACATTTGTTCGCTAGTTGTCATTTTAATATTCACAAAATCTTACACAACTCAAAACTACACCATGACACTACAAACACATTATCATGCTTACCACTTTCAGTGCCACATTGTAATGCTCATCTTGCACCCCTCATCTCCGCCTCATCGAATTGAAATGTTTCCATGTCCCACTTTCCAAATCCTACACCATTAGAGTCTAATAGTTGGCATGATAGATCAGGTAATGGATGTATTTGTGCCGCCATGCTACTTTGGCGTGTATGTTAAGATATTTTGCGTGTGACAACGCACTCATGTTCCTCATATGTCCTACTCACAATTCAATATTAGTATATCCATCACAATAAAAATTTCATGCAGTTGACATCTTCAAATAAGGACCTGTAAGATGAAATATTACTTTACAAATACATACTGAACATATGCTGCTGTACATGTACGATGTGTCTACATTTTCCATCCTTTCGGCCGACCCCTTCTGCAAATCCATTAGCACAACGGCGTACGCGTCGATAACCTACAACACATGCGACATCAATGTAAACGAGCCATTTAACCATTAATCACCCCCCCAACACTACGTTCTACCACCCCTCCTCGAATATAAAGAACTAAACTGTATGTAGCACGTACATTCCCGTGTATTGAGCTTGACTGCACCAAATTTTGTACATTCATTAAATGCACTTGTATTTCGTTGTCACCACCATCCCATATAACAGACCTGAAATACATTGCTCAATGTCTACAACAAAAACAATACAACACTTACAAACTGCCTAAGACATGCCATACACAAAAGCAACAGATAAATACATTACCCATCGCCATCAAAGTTGTAAATGTCCTCTAACAACTTCATCTCGTCAAATTGTAGCATAGTCCATACAACGTGTTTCACATTCATCCCAAAGCCATTTCATGACTTACGCTCCACGTCAATGTCCTCAACATTGTAAATTACCGCAGCATCTGCTGCTTTACTATTTGTCATTTGGCACCTACGCTTGACACGACTTATAACCCAAGCGTACTCATAGTCTGATAATTTGAACTCCCGTCTTGGCTTGTTCTTAACCTGCCTGATCAGCAAATATATCTTTGGCCCAGTACTTGAGACATATTTTTTGTCCACTTCAACTATTCCAACGCTGTCCACCATTCTCGTTTTGTCTGTTACGCCCTCCAAGATGCTACGTATTTCAGCCCTGTCAGTTCGGACCACATCATTTTCAACTTCTCGATCGACTCAACCATTAATTAAGCACTCACTTCCATACACTGCATCAACACACCTTTTGTCCCCTTACTACTGTCCTGCATTGCTTTCCACACGTAATATGAACGCTACACACTGTCATTCCCGACATGCCACCTAAACTAGGTTTATTATTTGATGGATTATCTGAGGGCGTTCACTCAATTGAGGCCTTATTCGTAAAAGATTACGTGACTATGTGCGCCTCGCGATCGTCAACGTGGTCCTCCAAATTGGTTATTGTTTTTTTTAACTCGCCGATAACTTTGTTAAGCCGTAAGATTTTAGCATCTTTCGATACGATCACACTATCAAACCCGATAAAGAAGTTCGTCACTTGCACTTCGGCGATCCTTTCCAACGACGCAACATGTTCATCTAACTCACGCACACGTGCTGACTTTGCACGTACATCATCCTCCAATTCTTTAATTCTGGACACAACTTTCTTTAGTTGTTCAGCTGCATTATCGGGGTCATTGCAGTTTGTGTCATTTATCGGGGTGCTTGATATGTCCAGCAGGTCAGGAAATAATATAGGTCACACTTTATCGGCACCTAATATTTGCTCTCATTTTCTTTCCATAATAGTTGATGGACCGCTGGGGTGATGGTCGATGCCCTTCACTATTTTGAATTCAATATCACCACCATTAGGCGAATCCGGCTGCCAACAATCAAAGCTCGGTTCCACATCCATATCTTTGTGATGCCCATCCTAAACATTAACCGGCTAAACCTCCAACACAACTTTATCATTCTATTTTTTTCCTTCCCCACACAGCGTACGATTCACAAAATAATGCTCAACAATTGTCCCCTGAATTTTCTCACAATTCACCTATACATTACACACAATGAGGTAATTGCAAATTCTAGATTGGTGGCCCGAAAGTGACAAATTTGTATTCAACACTACATCATACCTTAACATAGCCTTTCACCGATAGATCCACACATTTCAACTTGCTGATTAGCGTACCAATGTTCCATCTGCAAAATCTTGGAAACACATTACACCTTTTCGATTCCATGATCGATGCATGCTCACACAACAAAAACTACAACACAAGCAAAACCCAAAAACCATTAACCACATTCACACACAATCAATTGCATCTAGTTACGAACAGGTTTGTGTAACATGAGAAATTAGAGAAAAACTTACTAATAACGCGACAACACAACCCGTAACCCTCTCCGGCTTGGTGTGCAACTCATTCAACGATCCAATCAAGGTGTTACGTATCGTTGCTGTCTAGTCATACAACCGTAATGTTTCCAATTTGTCAAATTACATGCACAAATGACCACCCTATAAACTCAATCATTGTAGCAAAAAACAGCTTATCACATACAAACATAATAGCTTTGCCACATCTTCTTCGTCAAGTTCAGTATCACCTGTCATTGCTATTACTAGTAAATCCTTGATAACTTTCGATGAGATTCGTCCAATGTTCGGACACCTCCTCTGTATGAAGTTTGATTGAGCCATCACACTATGCCACAAATCAAGCTTGGCCTTACCACATTGAACCCTAAACAACAACTTGATGTCACTGTTTCTCAACGGGAGTCCGCTCTCCCCAATGTAAAATTTCTTGTCCCTTAGGTTGTATGTTTGAATTATCCGGCACATCGTTGCATTGCATTTCTAAAAAGCCTTTGGATCCAATCGATGCACCCGAATAACCTTAATCATCAACCAAAATGGGTTTTTTTTTAGTTGTCGCACATGTCCGTCTTTCAATTTTACTCAAGCATCGTCTTTATCACACCGGCAACACTAGATCGATACATTAGCCTAGATGGGTTCTACTACCGTCGGTCTGACCTTTTTATTACTTGAAGGGTAGTTCTTTTCATTTCTTGACTGGCAATCGGGTTGATGTTTGGCCACTAACATTTGAACGCGACATTCTCTCCTAGTCTTACGTTTGCATGCCGCACTACCTGACACAACCTGGAACATTGTTCCTTTCAAAACAACACACCAACTGCCAGCAGATCAACAAAATAAAATCTAACAAAATGTGCATACTAGATATTACCATGACCATCACACAATATCATGTACTTCCTCAAGTTGTTACCGATGACACTTTAGCATACATCACACATTAGAATTGTAAAACAAATATGGTCACCCACAAAACATTCACAAATACAATTAACAACTTCAAATGAACTGCAACCCACCTATATTTGGACGATCTAACTAACGGAAATCATTTATGTAACCATGAACTTAAATGCCACTTAAAACAATCAACATACCACTACGTGTAATGTTTACTAACATGCATTCCGCGAACATGTCACACATTATCACATTTCAATGTTATAACATGCACCATTATGTGATCTGAAGGGAACAATGTTGCAGGAAGTGCAGGTACATGCACTCCACAAAATTACAGCCACATTGTGGACGCGCCCTCGGGCTTTATGCCACTACAGTTCGGACTCCCCTTTTGTGTCACGGTTCTTAATTTGAACCAAAGAGTCCAAATCCGGCAAATCGTTTTGAGAAAACAGATTTTTAGAAAAGAAGTGCCAAACATGGACTGCTTTGCCAGATACAGTGTCCCACCTAAATATTTTTTTTAATGGGGGAATTTAGGAAACCTTGACTCGTTTGCCTAAGGCCACGTGTCCGTCATTACCAAAGTTGCCTCGGCTCGGGAACTTGGGTATGATTGGGGAAGGTCAGCTATGAGCACCCCCTCTCGCCCGATCCGAAGATCGGCCTCTACTAACCATGATATCCAATTTTGAAAATGTTATGTGTTCTTATTCCGGTTAATTAGCTAGAATTACTAAGTGATGCGCACAGCAAAACAAGTATAGACCAAATCGCCTAATTTGAAACAAAGCATCGCATATCCGTTTGTTTGGAAAATGTTTTGAAATTTGCTACTTGCGAGTAGGTTAAAACACGGATTTTGATGAGTTGTTCCAACTCAAGCAATCCAACCTTCACCCATAGGTATTCAGGCAGTTCATATCACATAAGCATCTATCCACATGGTAAGCATGCTGTTATGTTAACATTTACACTCGTGCGAGATGCTAAAGCACAAAATACTTACAGTGTACTCCAAGCCAAAACAAAGAACTCGTTAGCAATCAATGTATGATCCAAGTCCATGTTAAGTGCCTAATGCAACGCATACAGAATGCAATTAGGATAGGCTCGGCTAATCCTAGGATGGCATGTGAAATGCAACCATTTGATGCACATATTCAAGTTAGATTTGAAATACTATGCAGTTAGTATGATGCGCAGAGCCCGATGCATGCAATACTGATGAATGATGCACGCATGCATAGCATAAGGATGCTAAATTAAATATGCCCTAGTACTAACCATCAAAGTAGGTAAGTAAAAGGGAGAAAGAAGTGGGGGTTGGAAGACATGCTACAGATTTAACTAACCTACAAGCTAATTAAATATTACAGACCAATTAAACTAGTTAAGCAAATTAACTAATCTAATAAAATAGTAAATAGCCTCGGGGAGAGAGCCCAATGCAATGCGTGCTCGGCTCCGCTTGGAAGTCCATTGCCATGCACAAGTTGCCTCTGTCCACACTGTTTTCCTTCTCTGATCATTGCAAAATTCCCAAGGTGCACTCTATGAACCCTGTGGGATACCATCGGCCAAGGGAAATGGTCACCAGCCAAAGGAAATGATCACCGGCCACTGGTTAAGCTATCGGCCACCAATTGTTGGTTGGTCGGCATTAAAGATGGCCGGCCGGCCAAATCTTCCTGCAGAATCCTATTTTGACAACAGCAGAGGGCAAGACAAGGCATGACAATGCATTCCAAGCAAATGTGTGCACCAACACATCCCTTATCATGCTTATGACTTAAAGGGACATGGTTCTCAGTTCTCGGACCACCAATCGTGCATTTCGATGCGTGATGGCCCAAGAAACCAAGTTATGCACTTTGATTTCAAATGAAATGCACATAAACAAGCAATGAGCTTAACCTCTATCATACTCAATTCAAGAGGCTAAGCATGCACGTCAATGCAATGCAACCTAGACGTATGAGCTAATATGCAACATGAGCAATGCGAACAAGCATACAAGGCATGTGACGATCATGCTAACCAATAAGTATGCCAAATATAATGGGGATGTTCAGGCATGCAAGCAAGCATGTGACTTTATTCAATCATGTCACAACACATGGAGCAAACATGTTAGACAACCTAAACATGTGACAACACACAAGTATGCAACAACACACAAGGTGAGCATGTAACAACATGCGAACTATGGACTTAAACTAATTTGGGCAGCTCTATACTAAGCCTAAAACAGTGGCCAATATGCTCAAGAATGAAGGCAAAATGACATGCAAACATGCATGCACACAAGGACCAACACCTAGGCATATGGAAACAACTCTCAAGCACACTTAAGAGGATGCAAACATGGACAAATGGCATGCATTATACGCTCTGAAAGTCATGTTAGAGAAGGTGCCAAACCAATCTACAATGCAAGCTAGGCATGCCACCAAGCCTAAGGACTTAAACCATGACCATATGACATATGAAGCAAATGACCAAAATGAACTAAAAC